TTGGCATAATATCCACGACATCGAGCACGCGACATCCAGCACGGTGTTCGTTCGCAATGCATACGGGGGTGTCGTCCGAACAAGGTGCGGATCCAAGCACCCTCTTTTTGTGACCCCTCTTTTTTTTTTGTGACTGTAATAATAATAACGTAATAATAATAATAATAATATAATATAATAATATAATAATAATAATAATAACCCCATTGGCGTGATGTACCTTCCTGGGCTTACTTCGCACCTGCTACCGAAGAGATAGAGCGCTGGATCCCCCGATCGGCATCAAGCAGAGTCTCGTATGTTCGTACTGGAGGGGCCTGAGGCCAGGCACGGGGGATTGGTCCGCTTTATCCCTGGTGCTACCGGCCGTCCCCTGGCCGGTATGCTGCAGGCTCGTGAGGCCGTTAAAACACGGCTCTGCTATGCTACGGGTTTCCCCGTATGCCTGTAAGTAGTAGTGGTAGGTAGGTAGTGTGAGGAAAATTGATAGAAGAGTATAGTTAAGAAAAAAAAAAAAAAAAAAAAACATAGCAAGTACGCTCCGACCCGGGGCAAGCACCTACGAACCGACCCGGCCCAAGGAGCTACCCACCGATCCGGCCGAAGCACGATGGGAGATCTTATAATAGACGGAGCGGTGGGACGGTCGGTTATTCGTGCTCAGGTGTTTTGTTGTGTGTTGGGGGATTTTTCGACTTCTCGGGTTCTTCTTCGTGACGTTTTGGAGGTTTGGCGAGCCTGCGGGTTAGCTCAGTAGTGGCGGGTTAGCTCAATTTGGCGAGGTTTGGCGAGGTTTGGCGAGGTGGCGGGTTTGGCGAGAGAGAGAGAGAGAGAGAGAGAGAGAGAGAGAGAGAGAGAGAGAGAGAGAGAGAGAGAGAGAGAGGAGAACTTCGGCCATAACTTTGTGGGGTGACAGAGGTTATTCGCAGCAGCAACGATCGATCGTGGAGTGCTGTTCGATATTTCGATATTTGGGGTGTTGTTCGATATTTCGATATTTCTGGGGTGCTGTTCGATATTTCAATATTTCTGCTGCAGCAACGATCGATCGTGTCTTGCTGAGGTGAGTGGGAAAGGTTGCCTGTGGTTTGCTTGTTTTTTTTTTTTTGTATGACTATGTCGACTCGGTTTATAATGTTTCTCTTTTTTCCTGTCCATCTATTATATTGCATTTTGTAGATAGATTTTGCTGATTGGATTTTGTAGATAGATTTTGCTGATTGCATTTTGTAGATAGATTTTGCTGATTGCATTTTGTAGACAGATTTTGCTGAGGGTGTGGGTCAGACTTCTTAGCACCTACGTTCGTGTTGACGTCAGTACCTGCTTGCAGTGGGTCGGACTGTAGGTGCTTGGAGTGGCTGGCTCGGCGAGTGGTGGGAGTGGGTGGGTAGGTGGTTGGAATGGAATGGTCGGTGCTTGGAGTGGGGCGGTGGGTCGTTCGAGGATGTAGGTCGGTCGTCAGGTTGTGTCGGTCGGTGCTTGGAGTGGGGCGGTGGGTCGTTGGGGTGGGTCGTTCGAGGCTCGGTGTGGGTCGGTGGGTGCTTGGAGTGGGGCGGTGGGTCGTTGGGGTGGGTCGATCGGGGCTGGGGGTTGGTCGGTGGGTGCTTGGAATGGGGCGGTGGGTGCTTGGAATCGGGATGTGGGTGCCTCGAGTGGGTAGGTGGGGCTTGGGGTGGGTAGGTCGGGGTTTGGTCTGGGTAGGTGGGTGTTTCGATTTGGTCGTTGGGTGCTTGCGGTGGGTCGATTGCTGCTTGGACTGGTTATGTGGGTTCGTGGAATGGGTCGGTAGGTGGTTGGGTTGGGTCAATGAGCGGTTGACATGGGTGGGTGGGAGCTGGGAGTGGCCAAGGGTGATATTACGAAACAGATGATTGAGGCCGGGGTCGTCACAGTCTACCCGGAGTCATGGAACCCAGCTTGCTGAGAACCTGGCTCAGCGTGCCACGTCCAATGATGCAAACAATTATCTTTTTTTTTTTTGTTTTTTGTTTTTTTTGTGTGTGTGTGTGTGAACGGGCCCAGTGGCCAAGGCTGATATTACGAAACAGATGATTGAGGCCGGCGTCGTCACAGTCTACCCGGAGTCATGGAACCCAGCTTGCTGAGAACCTCGCTCAGCATGCCACGTCCGATGATGCAATTATCTTCTTTTTTTTTTTGTGAACGGGCCCACTGGCCAAGGCTGATATTACGAAACAGATGATTGAGGCCGGGGTTGTCACAGTCTACCTGGAGTCATGGAACCCCGCTTGCTGAGAACCGGGCTGAGCGTACCACGTCCGATGATGCCAACAGTTATCTTTTTTTTTTTTTTTTTTTTTTTTTTTTTTTTTGAAC